GAGGAAGGTATATTAAATATCAATAAATTTATACTTTCCTGATTCATGAAAAAGATGTAAATAATTAACGAACAGTAAAAAAACTACTTGCAATATATATCTGTGAGCAGGCATAAACCAGCTACCCCCGAAATTCCAAAGGTGGGATCTAGATATTAAAATACTTAAGTCCATAAAAAAAAATTATTACGTTGTGGTGTAATTGGAATCGACAATTTCCGGGAATGGGAAAAGTTCATTTTTCTTTGCTCAATTTTTAACTTTTAATTGCTCTGCAATTTTCAGGACTCCCTCCACTTTAAAATCCCAGCACTCTAAAGAGAATTGACTATCTAGGTTTCGATCAATAGGACTACACACAAGTACAGTAAAACTCGGTTATATCAAAGTCCTCGGGACCTGTGAAATTGTATCACTATACATGTAATTCGTTATATCTCTATAAAGAATCCGTAAAATTTATATATATTATAATTATCCAAGATAACCTCGCTATATCCGTAAATTCGCAATATCCGTGTTCGCACTAAACGAGTTTTACTGTATTCAAATTCCTTTATACTGACTGACGTTCTTACACAAATTGTAAGCCATTATTTACACTCAGAATTGTCAGGATATTCCGTTATTTCCCCAATCAACACAATGAGCACACGGCTTGTGTGACCGTTTGGCAGTGGATGTTCACTCCTCAATGGCACCTGATCCATAATATGAATTTCCAACAATCTTCCATCTTAGATCTAAATCTACGTATCACGGGCATAGATTAGAACATGAACTTACAACAAGAAACTACAAACACGCATTTGAAAATCCTTAAACATAGTTTTTTTTATTTACACTGAATTGATTATGACATTGTATTTTTTCATTGCTTATATTTTTCTTAAATTATTATTTTGTGTCCAGGACCTTCCTTCTGTATGGAAACATCGTTAACAGAGAGTATTAAGGACAGACCTCCACATAACTTGTGTTCTGACTCGGAATCTCTTTATATAACGTCCACCGAATGTGAATCAAGGTGTCTGAACTCCACCACATGCTACACATTAATAATGAGCAACGACAGTTGTACACTTCTTCGATATAAAAATGACTCAAATTGTAGCTTGGAAAGACCTCCTGTATCCAGATCTCTTCGTCACAAAAGTAAGTTTTGAATCTTACGACGAAGGAAGCATTAATCCGAAAGGAAGAACTAAACCCATTATTATTATTTTTTAAATTATGTTAAGATATACATATTGAGTTTACTTTTTCATCTTAAGACACCTGCCGTGTTTCTCGATGAAATGTTTTCCAAGAGATGTGGTATATGATATGAGCAAAAAATTTCTTAAGTCTGTCTTAATGTTAGTAAAAAATGTAAATAATTAGAGTTGGCTAGGACTGCCCGGTTACCGTCCCTGAAACGTTCTACTTTCCCATTTTTCCGTTCGCTCACCGTTCGTTCACCGTTCGTTCAGCGTGCGTTCGCCGTTCGCTCTTCGTTCACGGTTTTGCGTTCACAGTTCACCGTGCACTCGCGTTCACCGTTCACAAAACGTTCACCGTTCGCTCTTCGTTCACAGTTTTGCGTTCACAGTTCACCGTGCACTCGCGTTCACCGTTCACAAAACGTTCACCGTTTACTCTTCGTTCCGTTTACTTTGCGTTCACCTTGCGTTCACTTATCGCCCAGTCTTCATTGTCATTCAGAACTCCGAAGTGAAAGGACTTATCTTTTTGATGGTAAGGATTTACAAGTTTTTTTTAATTAAATAACTAAGATATCGTGTTTGAAGAATAATTATTTCATTGCAAAAAATTATCTATGATATTTATATTTCTATTATTATAACTCAGCTGTAACTTATTTCGTGAATTTTCCCCGGAAAATAATACATTAAGTACCTACATGTATGTAGAACGATGCTAAAATATTAACTTTAAAAAACGGGCAATGTACAAATGCTTCACGCACGGCATCAAATTGATGTAATATTAAAGAGGATAAATTATCAATTGATGTATAATAATTAATCCAAGTATTTTACAGGACAAGAATACATAAAAAAAATTATTTCTACAGTAACATGTATTTAACTACATGTAGGTTTGAGAATTATGAACAGTTCTGCAAATATTCAGTTAAAAATATAATTAGAGCTAATTAAATTGATGGTGTGGTTTTAAATTTTAGAAAAGACTAACTGTTTAAAATAGTCTATTATTAGAGAGGAAAATTCCTTCCTTTACCCTACCTAAATATATGTTTGCCATTCAGTATAATTAAGACCCCCCCCCCCCCCTCGGTGCCTTTTCTCCCGAAATAAAATTCTTATTGCGTTTTTTCAGCATATTTTAATCAATATTTAAATTGCATTGTAACACAATAAAATCAGTCTTAAAACCAACATCAAACAGTCATTAAACAATAGTATTCTAGAATAAACTTGTGTCGACAGTAGTATTTTAAATTGGCAGGGAATATGTTTCAAATTCAATTTAAAACTTAATCCTTCCAAGTATATATTCGAATTATATTTTTGTTGCAGGAATGCAATAATCAGATCTAGAAATGATAGGAAAAAATATTAAAACTTCTTGGAATACTAAGTGACTTTTTGCCTTCGGCATGTTCGGTGAAACGCGATTTCCACAACGCCACTGTGTCGAATTATTTTGATTGACAGCACAAGCACGCTCTTAGCACGGACATCCTGTGAACTGTGTGAACTTGATGATGGAAAATAAAAGCCAATGATTACTGTCAAATGGATTTGTTAATCTAAAAAAAAAAAGATTACCTTTACTGCTTGGAATACTTAGGAAAAATAATAAGAATTTTTTTTTTGATACAACATTTATCTGAGAATCGAGGGGGTTATCTCTCTCTCTCGTACATTTCTCTGTTCAATAAAAACTATGACAACACATTACTAATTCAATCTATTACAAAAAAATTTGAATGCCTCTTTCAAACATCGTGACAAAGTATAATCACGGCCGGGAAATATCTACAGATACATGAGTAAGTTAGCTAAAATAACCGTCATAAAATAACACAAAAGGCACATAAATATAGAATATTTTGCATTAGAATTTAAATAAAACGAGAATTCTTATGCAGTACGTAACAGTCAATGTCAACAAATTATTGTGATTTAAAAAAAAATTGTTATTTTACTCAGAATCGCTTTGGCACGGAAATACAGGTATGGTTGTTTCAACCGTGTACGATGTAATTAATTCATTCTATAAGTAGTAGTTTTATTTTCAGAAGTCCACATTATTTTATTAGTGAAAAGAATAAGCATATTTACTATATAAATAGTTTAATTTTATATTTTATCTACACGCGTTCGAAAACAAACGGCAAATAAAATCGTTTATAAAAATATCGTTTTAAAACATAGGTTCATATTTGTACAGAACAAAATGGTTTTTAATATTTATTTATTTGTTTATTTATTTTTTATTGTTTATTTATTTCTATTTACGCACGATGACGTCATAATATGTATTGACTATCGCATGAAAATATAATTATAGAATGATAGAATGAAAAGATCGGAGGCATTCCGAATAAATCGTTCATCTTGCGTTCAACGTTCGTTCACCGTTCACTTTGCGCTCGCGCTCCGTTCGCGTTCTGCGTTCACTCACCGTTTACCGTTCACACATCGTTCACTAAGTTGCGTTCAGCGTTTGCACATCGTTCACCCACCGTTCGCTCTGCGTTCGTTCACCGTCCCTTCACTGTTCGTTTCAGGGACTGTGTGAGCTAATCGTCGAAAGACGCAGTAGAAAAAAAAACCCAATGCAATGCAAGTATTTAACAACGTAAGCTCCGAATGATCCATTTTAGGTATTTTCAAGATCCTGGCCTCAGACTATCCAGCTGCAGATCCCCAAAACTTCACAGAATGGTGTCCAGGTATTAATTTATGATGAAATCCGATTATAATATTTTAAATGGAATTATTTTTATGACGTAAAAGTTTTAGGAACACTTCAACTGCAATGTCAAAAAGTGGTACCGAATCAAATAAACATAATTAAGGAGAAACATGAAGATAAACAATTATAAGACGTACACAAACAATGTATTCTAATAGAAAACAATTTTATATTTTTACCACGAAAGGCGAGATCTATTTATGTGAAATAAATGACCTTTTTGGAGTAGTATAACCTTTTGATTTAAATGTGTCTCAAACGATTGATATAAATTTTGAGCAAGTGACAGTAATTATTTTTTTTTCAAATTGAAATATTATTTTTAACCAATTTAAAAACCCAAAGCACCCAAAGAATCAACTTTAGAACCAAAAGTAACCACTTCAGAACCAGTGCATGCCTTCTCAGCGATTTTAAAACAAATAGATCCCACATTAGAAGCCACAGTTACCACTTCAGAACCAAAAGAAACCACATTAGAACCCAAAGAACCAAAGAAAATCCCTATCCTTGAAAACATCGGTAAAAGTATATATGCATTAACAATCAGTTTTAGTAAATGCAACTTAACCTACTTTGAAAGTAATAAACTGATAAGTATATAATATAACAATTTGCACCAAATAATTTAATCATGAATAATCAATCAATTATTCAAATTGAAATTTGGATACATTAAGTCTACAAATGGAGTTCTTGAGTTAATTCATTAATTTACCACTTCAGAACCAAAAGAAACCACTTTAGAACCAAAAAAAACCACTTTAGAACCAAAAGAACCAAAGAAAATCATTATCCTTGGAGAAAACAACTGTAATGGTATAAGTTTATGCATTAACAATCAGTCTTAGTAAATACAACTTAACCTACTTTGAGAGTAATTAACAGATAGGTGTATTATGTATAACAATTTGCATAAAATTATTTAATCATAAATAATCAACCAATTATTTGAATTGAAAATTGAATACATTAAGTCTACAAATGGAGTTCTTAAGTTAATTCATGAATTTACATGAATGTGAAATTTGAATATCTTAAATTGAAAGAAAATGTTCTCTTTTCCAGTTCCAAAGAGAAAAAGTTCCGAAAATTATTTGATTTCCAGAGGTAATATTTTAACACTGTCTTTTTTAATAATAATAATAATTAAATCACAAACATTCAATATTGTCTCATATTTATTCACTTTTCAATTCCTAGAAAATTAAATGATATACATATATTCATGCTTCATGTTCCAGAAAAAGTAATGGTGTGATATTATTCATAATAGTTCATATAACATTTTAAGAAATATATTTAAGTATATGTGAGTATATCAACGCATTTATTAACTTATATGTAAACAAAAATCACTGTAGAACTAACTGCAATATATTGTTCATAACATGTATAGTGTCATAAGCAAAACTCAACTGAAAAAATAATTTGGGAGGTAACACGAAGTGTTTATGCTTGTGGTGACATAGTTTGGGTTTCGGGGATACTCCTTTTATATTTCAAGCATTATCTTAGTTTAATTTATCTGATGTTCTGCTTTTCTCTTCCAGGATGGGAATTGATTTCAATATTTAACGATCCCGGTGGAACCAAGAAATCTAAAATAGCAGTTGTCTTTGATGACGATGAGGACACGTGTTTTACTCTCCCAACCCAAGAAGACTTCACGCCTTTCTTAATGATGAGCCTACCGACAGAACCTGTCTTCGGTATTCAGGCAAAGGCTTTCGTCCTTAACATATCCGGGATAGGCATATCATGTGACAGACACTCAAATGCCCGGATGCTTCAGGTAAATATGACTGTAAATTAAAAGGGGGAAGAAAAAAGCAGGAGGACACGATGGCAGTGGCCGATCGGCAGGGGATGCTCACTCCTCCATGGCATCTGATCCCAACTCTCATGTTTTGGAGATCTGTGTTAGCTTTGCTTAATATTTTTTTATGGACTTTTCAGCTTGAATACGGTTCCTTAACTCCATATATTCCATCTCACTAGAGTAAAATGCAAACCATACATATCTGTGTTGTTGGAACAAAATTGGAACCCGGATATTCAAAGCTCTGAATTAGGGGCATAGAAAGAGAAATAACCCATGTAAAATGTATATTTGGAAATCAATTTTTAATATTTAATTTTCACCAAATATTAGATGTAACTTTTATCGCTAAGAACTGTTTGGGAATGATAAACCTTAATTAGTATTTTAACTTTAGAAAAGTCATGCTTCTACCGAGAAAAAAAGTTGTCTGTAATGCCTCTATGATTGATCAAATAGGTTTTTGATTTAGTTTTTTGGCAAGCAATTATAGTAAAGTTTCTCAGCTCTTTATTATATTTGTACTTAAAAATGACACATTTATTTCTTTATTTACAAACCATTTCGTAACTAACATTATTTCTTATTGTTGTCCTAAGATGAATTCACGTGTAGAATGGCAATTAATGAAAGTCGACACTTTGCCAGGTGAAAATGATGGTAATAGTTATTATTTTTATTCAATTTTATTGATTTGTTTGTACAAATATCTCTAGGTATCCTACAGAGCCATCAAAGAACCGACCCAGTTCTGTACTCTGACGGACAACAAGGCTGTACCTGACGCTTTTTCTAGTTGTGTATTTCGTTGTGACTGTCCAGACCCCGCCCACTGTAGAGAAGTCAATCTGTATTTAGCCAGTGGTAATGCTAAGGGGGCGTGGTCTCTCTGTGAAATGAAAGCTACTACAGTGTAATTCCTATGTTTGGAAAAAATTGAATTGGGGATAAAGATTTTTATGAGAGATTTAGAAAAACGATGAAGTTTTAAAATGAGTAAATCTAACTTTTTTTAAGTTATCTAAGCTTGAAAAGTGGTGAAAATTCAAGTGATTAATTTTTGGCTGTTATAAAAGTTATGCATAGTAAGTTTTTATGTGATTATAATTATCTTACTTTTTGGATTTGATTCGATTGTGCATGTAAATCATTTTTGAAAAAAGTTAAATTTAGAAAATGTGCATATGTGCATTTTCAGATGTAGAACAAATCTGGTAAAATTACAATGGACTTATTCCTGTTTCTATATCTATTTTGGGGGTATAGTGCTATACATGTGTAGGTTTGTTTTTAATTTAGGGTGAATTACACAATTACATGTTCAAAACAATAATAATATATAACAGGTTGAAATGATTGTTCATGTTCCTGCTCAAAATCGTATTTTAAGAAGTTTTTTGTGTACGTATTCCTGTGCTATGACGATTGAACTTTGTCGAAATAATATGACTAACGGGGATATTATAACATGAAAACATTATAAAATGTTATAACATCATATTAATATAAAATGCCACATTAGAAAATGATATTAGAAAAGCATTCTTATCAAAAACAAGAGAGATACATTGCCAATATGGCATCGAAATATTGTGATGTGATCAAATCATGGCTCTACGGTTAAGCTAGTGTCCTAAGAGGGACTTAAACTTTATACAGGGATAAAAAGTCAACTTTCTCCCCAATTTTGTAAATAAGAGGAGAGTCACAAAAGTCTGATGAAAAATGAAGATTGATTAAATCATCAAAGATCACACAGTTATTTGAAACCTTGTAGTAAAGCAGGTAGAGTGATACTAAGATGAGTATTTCTGTTCACGGACCCTAGTTGTTTTTCTTTCCTTTTACTAGGTACGAGGGTTTTGTTCATAAAGTTCCTGGATAAATGCTGTAATTTACTTACCAATGCCCGTACTGGTAAATGCCAAAAAAGTTAATAGAGGCCATGATTTGAAAATAAACATAATTACACAGTTCACACTCTTTTACGAACTTTAAAGGTATCATATTCCACAGATATGGATTCAGGATTTTACTAATTTCATCGACAGTCTTCTTTTTATTTTTATGTCACATTGACAAATGTCTGCAACAGTATTTACCTATAAAACATAACTGATTTAATTTTTAAAAATTCTAATTAATACAGGATAATTAACATTTGTAAGCCGACAGTGCAGCCTAGTCGAACGTTGCGCTTCATTTATAACTACGCCATCAATATATATATTTTATCTGTATCAAATAACAGTGCTTTTTTTTCTTATAGTGTCTTCTAAATTTTTATTTCGATATAAATGACAAACACGAAGTACACAAACATTATGGTCAACCCTCGAGTGTGGAATTAAAATTATTTGTTTTTTCCTTTGGAACGTTTTTGTTTTTCTCATCCCATAGTTATGACTGTATATATTGTTTGTGAGAGATTTGTCGATATTTTTTAAGTGTCTCAGATGTTGATGTTAATTGGTTTTTTTATTGTATTTCATGTACGTGCAGCTTGTTTATCTCTAATTGCCTTGTAAGAAACATACATCGGAGAAGCTCAAAATTACAAAATTAACATTTAGTAATATTAAGTTTGACAAATACGTTAGACAAAATTATTTTTATTGTACGCTTCTACATATATTTTAACAAAGTCAGCTTTGTTTTATTAATCACTCCATATGATAATGCTAAGTCACAATATAGGGGCTTTCACTTAGACATTGGAACAAAAAGGCGAATATATTAAAATTAGGTCAACATAAGGACAATTCAAACATGCAAATGATGTTAATATTATTAAATTTGTTAAAATAATAGCCCTTCGGGACGATTTTGTTTCACAGCAACAAGTCGAAATTGTAGTATACTAACTAATTTACAAGTCATGATAGCTCTTCCCTATTTCGCAACAGGAAAAATGCAGTTATGTAACTGGGATGACTTCGGAATTCATCAATCCACTACGTCCAGAATTGTTCAAAGGGTCTCTACAGCCTTAACTCGACCGCATATCATTCAAAAATATATAAAATTTCCTACCGACGCTCAGACGAATCGGCGTTCTGTTATTTTTTTTTACTATAAATATAACATATATAGAAATATCTTTCTCGCAAAAAATTCCACAAGAACAATGTTGTTGATGTAAGTAAGATGTAAATGTTGTAAAAATAAAGTTAACTGTGATTATGTAATGCATTATTTAAGAATTCCTACAAAACGAAGTGAATAAAACTGATGTTTGTTTTGTAGTTGTCACTGTGGTAATTAAACATTACATAACTTATTTATTTTTTTTTATCAATGAAAGAACGACGATTAATGTTAACCAACTTTTATTCGCAACGACTTTATTTTTGCGATTTACCAGGGGATTACATTACTTAGTGAGGATTATTTTTCAAGATTAAGCTTTTTCTATAGTAAATGGACACAGAGACTTTAAAGACCGTTCGTGGCGAAAAATATTCGCGATTCTAAGAGTCTGGCAAACTTTGCAAAAATTTCTCGCAGGAGAGAAAAAGTCGGTTTACAGTATTTGGCTAAATTCCATTTTTCTGTGAATCGCAAATATCATAGATATATATTTAGTTTATGTTCATTCCTACACACCATGAAAGGTTACATTTTTTTCTTCTTGATACTTTGCGCCAAAAATAAACATTTACTTTGATAAAGATTAAAACGAGCAACATTTTTTTTCTTTTGACTGGAGATTGTACGACAATGCATTTTTCAAAGTGCTGACGTTAATATTTGTTAATTAATTATTATTGGAAATTAATTCAGATTTCTTTAGACATAACCAAAATAACACGTGCATCATAATTATAACGCAAGTCGTAAGACATTATGACAAGGCAAACATAATTGTAATTTCATACAAATGTGAAGCCATTATTTTCACACAAAATTATCAAAGAATTTTTCTGATTGCCCAGAGATGACAAAGAGTTGACGATGGATGTGATCCGTTACCAGGAGATGGTTATTCCTCCACGCCATCTGATCCCACTTTTAATGTTTTAAAATATCCAATTTTTGTTTTTTTCCAAATTTATCCCTAATTCGTTTAAGAGGATTTTCCTTTATACTATAATTTGCATTTGTTATTATATATTTTATGTGAAAAGAAGAAGAACGTATTGTATCTTAAACTCGACATTTAGATATATCGACGATGTATTGTCTATTAACAATGGTCTTTTCAACTTCCCTTAGTTATGCAGCAATTTACCAAAATAAACCAGTTGATCATGAACCTTGCTATCTGTGATTAAAATTTGCTACGGCGCTAGCTCGCCTATCTTTTTTAAAAAGTAAACGTGTTTACATCTACGTTCACGTCATTGACACTTCAGGTCCCGGTTCTAAATTTACAATTTATTACGTGGGGAAAAGACGTCACGTGACCAAGTGCCCTTCACCTCCTTAATCTTGTACGACCCCGTGGGGTTAAGAGGGACCATGACAAGGATGTTTACAAAGTAATATAAAGGAAGGAAACTTATTAATTGATTTTTTTAAAAATCGTCTTCTCATGAAGGTTATGGAGATAACGAACAGTATTCAATTTCAAAGTCCATTAAACAATATACAAAATAAGAGCAGAGCAAACACGGACCCCCGAAACATCAGAGGTAGGATCAGGTGCCATGGAGGAGTGAGCATCCCCTGCTGACCGGTCATACGCGCCGTTTGCTCCTTGTCATGTTCAGGAAACAACGGCAAAATCCGTCGTCAATTCAGTCTATAAATAACGAACTAACAATTATTATGAAAAACATCAGTCAGCATATGACTCAATGATACATTGTATTTGCTGACAAGGTCATTGTATCGACCGTAGAACTTGCGAAATGATGACTTACATGTATATTCTTGTTTCATCAACTTGCTTGTAAATAATTAACTCCTTTTAGAAATTGTTCGTAGAGCATGCTCTTGCTTATCGAATGAACTGACATATATATTCTCCGTATGCAGGTGATCATGGTATATTGCTGCATAAGTAAGGGAAGTTGACGATAGAAAAGTTAAAGTCATCACGTTTATCATATAGCTTGGTTGTAAGATTACCATTAACGTCTTTTTCAAGTAAAATATTCAAGTATAAAACAGATGTGTCAGACTCTGTGGTATCTTTTATATCAAGCTCACCAGGATATATCGTATCTACGTAGAAAAAAATGGAAATTCATTGTCAATTGACAATTCGTCGTAAATGTATCTAAATGTCGAGTTGAAGGCCACGGCAAGCGTTTTCTTTCACGCATATGATTTTGCACAATTTATGCTTTATATGAATATAAAAATAGGTCTGCTAAAAAAGGAGCGCAATTTGTACCCAGAGGATTTCCAATTGATGGTTGGAATAACCAGTATCTAAAAACTTCATAGATATTGTCAATCAGAAACTTAAGCATCTCTTTGATGTCAACTTCAATGTGTGCAATCAGAATGTGTTTTAACAAAATAATTTTGCAAATGACCAAGGACCAGGTACGTAAAAATACGAGTTCCATTTCATTGAAAAAGCAGCTGTCTATAATATCAAAAAGCCTGGACTTTGCAGGTGTCACAACAGTATTAATTTCTGCTATATATTCTTACCAAAAATGCGCAAGTTTGAGTAGATGTAACTAATTCAAAACAAACTTCTGAGAAGTTTCCTTTTCAGATCTTGTAAAACCATTCTTTATAAAGATTTTAGTACCAAAAAATACCTAGCCATCCAGCAAGGCACGCAAGTTTGTTTCGGTCGAAGCCGAGCAGGTGCTTGAAAATCTAGTCCAGGGCCTAATCACTCCCCACTCTTGACAGTATATAGAAAAATCAGCACGCTCTAAATTTTAATAAATCTGGTCAATACAGGAAGTTTACATGTTGTTTTTCATCTCATAAAAAAATTCAGCTCCAGCCTCGTACCAAAATGCCCGAATCGGA